TCAAAGAAATGTAAATACAGTGTTCGAATAAAGGACTTAATAGCATAGCTCTCAACGAATGTAGTCCTGTAAATAAATGAATAAAGAAATTGTGTAATAAAATGCCTCTGGCGGGACTCTAACCTGCGACCTCTCGCTGTCAAGGCGAGTGTCAAAACCACTATATATATATATATATCAATGTACAGCTCAAGAATAATAATGCCAGTATTATCACGGCTTACAAGTAATATTTTCAACAATACAGTTGTCATAGTTTTTTTCAAATTGCGATAATCAATCCTGTCTATCGCCATCGGTACTACAAACAATTATTCAGTATTGCATATAAAGACAATTTTGCTTGTAAGACTATCAATTAGGGCTATCTCTATCACATTAACACTTACAATCAACACTTCAAGGCAATACAATAATAACTGGTTATAACAATAATAACAATAATAATATAGTAATAAACAAATATAAGAATAATAAGAATAATACTCAGCGCTTATAACTTCTCAGGATTTGTTAGCCACGTTGAATCGCTGCGGTAATCCCAGGCTTTTGAGAAATACGACGAGGAGAATTCTTGGATTGCTTAAAAGAAAAAGGAAAGTGCATATTGTAGACCTCTGTGAATTTACGAATTAATACGTTATACGCAAGATCAGGACAATCAAAGCCAGTAACACAGGTCCAATCAATACTGCTCAGATCGTTATAAAAATTATAAACTCTAGTTTGGTTAAATAAACGGGTAGGAATCTTATTCGAGGTACTGATATTACTAATGGGATTGGATTTGGTGATTTCATAAATTGGATAATGATCAGTGATATCGGCGACAACAATACCTGATTTGATATTATGGGAAAAAACATTGGTAAAAATATTATCAATCAAAGAGGCTGTAGTGGGTTTTGTTCTGGTGGGTCTGTCGATAAGAGGAAACATGTTATGGTTAAAAAAAATAGAAAGAAACTCATTTATAGTGTAATTTTCATTGGAATGCAACAGGTGAAAATTAAAGTCACCAGATATATAACATTGTTTTTTTTTTCAGAACTAATTTTTATAAGACAGTTCGTAAGATCATTAAAAAATCTGTCAGTATTAGTACGATGTGCACGATAGATATTACTGACAATAATGTTTTTCTTACCAGGAACCAATAGTTCGATAAAAATAAATTCAGAATGCTCTATATGCTCTAATGTTTGGTTGATCAATATTATATCATTCCTAATTCGAAACGGTATTGTTTTATGAACATAATTAGCAACACCTCCACTTATTCTTTCACAACGAGGTGCATTAATTAAATTATAGTTACTTATAAACATTTCATTGGAACCATCCTCTTTAAACCATGTTTCTGAGAGCGCTATAATCGAAAAGGTGTGATTTAAACTTGTAAGTAACGCAGTAATCTGATCGTCATTTTTATTGAAACTGCGTTAGTTTATATGCAAAATTGAAAAATCATGCTCATCACATGAAACTGAGATTGTATTATCAAAATTGTAGGAACACGAATGGGGTATATCATAATCAATTAAATTATTAGCGTTATTTATCACATCATTGAGAGCAAATGGATTAAGTTTCATATTTAACATTCTATTACACTCAATATTATTATTAAAACTGAATAAAGCAAATTAAATTCATCGTCATCAGCGTAATGGTTAAAAGGAAAAATAGTTCCAGTACAGTTAAAACAAATCCAGTCTACATTGGCATTAGCGTCTATGGTAGTACGAGTTACAACTATTGCATACAATCAATGACTGAAGGCTTCTAATGTCTTTTGAACAAAAATTACAGTACTTAATCATCTACATAAATATTCATAGAGTAGGATGTACAGTAATAAGAAACCTATCTGGATCGGAGAATAAACATACATATAAAACATAGAAAGCTCCATGCCAACATACAACATATAAACAAATAAATATATTCACTTAACTACTACGGGCCTTAGTGAGTATAGGCCTAAGCGAAAATGATAGAGGTGACACGCATAACAGGGAACTGGGAAGTTATCATAATGTAATAGTGGGATTCATTATTCATACATAGGGAGAGGGGGAGAGTTGCAGGAATCTCAACATCATCCACGTTCAATTTTAAAATAGCAAAAGCAATTTTGTAAAATTGTGAAATAAGCCAGGATTTCTTCCGAAATTCGATGGAAACACACTGAATTTAAGATCGTTTTTAGCACCGATGAGAAGCTCTAGGAGTACTTGACTCATTGATTAATAGATCTGTTTTGGTAATTGATTAATAGGTCTTTTTGTATGGGCGGCTGTTAGGGCCAATATACTCCACTGCCGCCATTATGCTGCTGATTGATTATTTTAAGGTCCGCGTCACCAATTTTGAACGGGCGTGCAGGAAATTTTGTACACATGAAATAGAGAGGAGTCACAACAAACGATCATGGCCTTTTTTTAAAAGTTGGACCCCAGGGTGGCCCATACACCTACAAAACAAACAGCGTTTTCAGCAAGGACTGTACATTACTGCCATTTCCACTAATAGGACACGTCGCATGGATGGCGTGACCGGTTAACGAAGTGTTCCAAGGAACCCACGGTCGTGAGTTTGAATCGTGTCTTGGTATTCAATTTTTTTTTTTTTTTTAAATTTTAAGACATTTAATTTTTTTTTTTATTTTAGCGCATTCTAATTTGGTACAAATGAACATTGTTTAAAAATGTTCTATTTTACTAGCTTTTCCAATTTTTGTTGGTCAAACAGCTCTCAAATATCTTAGTATATTCATTTATATAAAAATAAATAAATAAATACATAAATAAATATAGGCCTAATAAGCACCGAGGCGCGATTCGAACTCACGACCTTCGGCTCCTTACAAATCAGCGTTAACAGACTGCACCATTTATGCGACGTGTCCAGTCAGTGGTAGTAATAAATGAAAATTATGAACCCTTGCCGAAAAATGTATATTACATATTTTTAATAAGATACAAAAATCTTATGAAGAGCCAAATAAAAGTAAGATATTATATTTTTAGTTCCGATGAGGAGCTCTAGAAACACCCGGCTGATTGATTGTGTGTTTGATTGATTGCTTAACTGTTTGATCGATTAATAGATCCTTTTGTATGGGCGGCCGTTAGGGCCAACATACTCTACTACCACTATTATACTGCCCTCAAATTCAATTTCAAGTTGACATACTAAAACATACTAAAATACAATACAAAGATACGATATAAAATAGGTTAACCTATGCGTAAAATGATATAAAACACTATAAATATAAAAAAAAACCGATAAACATTGCAAACAATTGCACTGTAGTCGAGTAAAAATATATAAAAGTGCAGTACACTTACATACTAGGATAAAAGTTCTTTTAAATTGCTTATTGTATTGCCTGATTGCACACGGAAGAAATGATTTGTTGACGCTCAGTCTTCTTAATTGATGAAATAATTCTACCAGATTTACTGAAATTAATATGATTAAACAGAGGATGGGACTTGTCATTTAATTATACATTTTAGTTTTTTCTCTATAGCCTTATCATATATGTCATAGATAGACGGAATGTCTGCGCCTATACTTTCTTAGCCATAGTAATAATCCTCTGTAATTTATTTGCATTATTTTTCGATAAATTATTTAGCCATACAATACAACAAAAGGCTATTATGGACTGTATCATAGCCTGGTGAAATAGGAACAATGTATCCTTGCCAATCTTAAAGTTCCTTAATTTTCTTAAAAATACATTCGTTGGTTTGCCTTTGCATAAAGTTTCGCGGTGTTAGAATTCCATGTTAGTTTTTCGTCTATCCAAACACCTAAGTATTTATGTTCACTAGTGGTGCAGACATCATTATCTTTGATACTTAAAGGTGACAGTTGCGTTTTGATTTTTCGAAAGTCGAATACAATTTCTTTAGTTTTTTCACATTGATACTTAGGCAATTCCTATCACACCAATTAATTAAATTATCAACTTCAGCCCTATAAGTACTCTCATCATTGTTTGCAATTAAGCCTGTGATGCAGGTGTCATCAGCAAATTTAACAATTTGACAAGATTTACTTATAAGATCACTTGTATATAATGTGAATAAAAATTGAGACAACACACAACCTTGTGGGGCACCAGTGCTTGAGACAAGGTTGTGTGTTGTCTCCATTTTTATTCACATTATTATTATTATCAGAGCTTTCGAGATTACAAGAACTTGTTATTTAAGTGGTCGACTGGTTTTTATGCAAAAAGATCCTGAGAGTATCCTGACCCGGTTGGATCCAGAGATAATTATTATTAATGTATAGAAACATTTATCTAAACATTGTAAATCAAAAGATGACTTTGTTATTGTTGTTTTTATTTATTCAAAGCAATCCTCAATTGCACCCTACAAGGCACAGCCTCAGATACAAGTTACC